TGGAATCTGGAATGAATAAAAAACACAAAAGACCAGGCAAAAACACAAGGCAGAACAGGCTGATTGATTCTTTTGATCTGAAAGTTTTCAGCTCTGCCGGCTGGAGCTGTCAGCTCTCCACATAAACGTGAAGATGTGTTGATTTATTTAATACTTTCCCTAAAGATCCGTTCTCATTGCTCCTATATTAGTCAATATTAGTTATTATATCAGTTAACCTTGTAGTTATTGTATTTGTTCATCCAAGTCAATATGTTAGCTATTCTGTCCGTTTATTCTGTAAATGTACTTCATCTAGTCTTAACTACTGCAAGAACAACCAATTCCTCCTCATGTTCCTTCATTAGTAATGAAGCATAACACATTATTAGTTACTGAAAATTACTTATAAGCTGTTGGTGCATATTTACTAGGTTACTAAGGAACTTTATTGCAAAGTGTTTTCAAAGGAAATTCCTCTTGTTTTGTATCTGGGTTGTAAAAGGACTTAATTGTATGTTTGAAGCAGGAATTTATGATTTTAACTGTGTGTTTTGATCTCAGAAGTTAAATATTAAACCTTATGAATGTACTGCACATAATACATCACAGAAATAAATGGTCCATGATAAGGAATTTTTGATAAAATGTTTCATGCTTCCAGACATGCCCCCCACCCCCCCACTCCCATGCCCTCTCAGACTGGCCAGTAAGCACTGTAGCCTCCATCACTTCCCTCTCTGTTTCAGCCTTAAAGCCACGGCCTGTGTGAGCCATTATTAACTATCTCGTTTTTGATTCAACCTGTCTGCTCTTTAACACCCTCACTTTAATCTGAAATTCTTGCAGACACAAAGGTAAGTTACTCAGATCATTTTTTAAAACAACTAAAAGTACTTGAAATGTTTCACCAGATTAACAAAATAGATGCAAAGTTTTCAAACATATTCTCAGAAAAAAAATTATGCAGAATTGAAACACAGCAGAGCTACAGGACAAAAACTAAAAGCAAAGTGATGAACTGAAGGGATTGGATTGTTCATACTTTACTAGCATTGTATATTTTCTTATCTTATATATTTCTTATATCAGGATGAATCAGGGCCTGATGTAGTTTCATTGTCATTTATTGTCCCAAGAAAAAAACCTTCTGTGTTCTAATAGGAGCCAGCAACTCATTTCATGGCTGCATCATGAATACTTATATTAAATTCCTGTTAGTAACCAGGTTTAGATTTATCTTTAAATAGTTCTCTTCTAAATTAAATTCTAAATGTATTTTATTTACCTTTAGTAGCAAAAACATTGAAAATAAACATTAATAATGTCAGTTAGACTCTGAATGATCAAAAAATGAACATATTTCACATGTAGTATTATTGAAGTGAAATAAGTGTAAAAATGTTACAGTAACACTGTGTTCATTGCCATTACTCTGTCTGTGTGGGATTATGCACAGTGTAAACCTTCACATGTCTTATTTCTGATCTTATTTCTGATACTGAAATGAAAGGTGCTTCAAAGTCATTGTAAGGTTATAATATCTCTCCCTCCACACAATAATGTTTTTAAAAAATGTGATTTGCATATTGTCCATGCACAATTACTTTCACAACTATAAAAATATGAAGTCATCTATCATAACTACAAAGTACATCACTTGGGCTGTATTGTTAAGATCTGAATGAAGGGTGTCACTAACTTCTGCTGTTTCAGGATTTAAACAAGGTCTCAGGTTTCAACCAGTTTGTTCTCATAGTTTTTACAAAATTAATTTTACTTAAAGACAAAGCTTTTAATTACAAAATGTTATTTGTTATAAACTCACAAGTGCTCTGACCAGCTGGTAAGAGCTTAAATGTGGAAGGAAAGGGAGCAACGGTTTGTTAACACAAGTTTGCTATCAAGCAATCATTAAAATGCCCTTTGGTTTACTTAAAAAGAATAATAATCAAAGATTTATCATTTATTTTTTTTCCTCAATCATTTCATTCCAGGTCCTTGTTGGATACAGCAGGAAATGGGGAGCGAACAATCAAGATCAAACACACATGTGGCCAATGCAACAGATAAGTACTTGAGAATTTACTATGAGACAACAAAGATGACGCTTGAAGAGCTTGTGGTCAAAGCAGATGCAGGGTTTGGTTATTCAAACTCGAGTATCTCGGCACAGGCAAACACCAGCACCACGATGGTTTTTAAGCCTGACTCGCGAGTGCGCTACATACGCCTTCCTCCTAAAGAGTACACCAACTTCGCAGGGGAAGGGGAGCTGTTTGCCAGCGTGCTTGTGGAAGATAAAGACGACCCAAAGGTCTTCCTCAAGTGCATCTGCATGAACTTCCATGTTCCCAGTGACCGATCCTTCATTGTGACGGCCAGTGAAAACATCAAGCTTCAGAAGTACGGTGCAAACGTCTGGGTTGATGACAGTGGAACGAACCATTCTGGATAATAATAATGAAACATTTTAAAAAATTGTACATGTTTTTCACATGTTTGTGATTTTCTATTCCAATTTATTGCAAATTCATGAATAAGTTCTTCTAAAACTGAAATTGTGTGCTGTGGGATTGGACAACAGCTACTGTTTAAAATGTGCTTCATGAATAAAAATTGATTTGATGACTGAAATGTAGTTTTCAAGTGTTCTTTTTCAGTCTCATTTACAGTATACAGTCACAGATGATGTGATATCTAAAAACACTATTAATAATGGTTTTTTAGTCTTTTATGTACAGTATGCAGTCACAGATGATTGTCTGCATCTTTCAGTAGATGTGAAATCTAAAGACACAATTAATAATGCTAAGCTAATATACAGTTTTTCAGACACACATTACACAAATACAGTCATATACAAAAGTCTGAACACCACCTGATTAAATCACATGCTGTTTTTTATGCTTCCTAAGTGAAAATAATTTAACATATCCTCTACAGAGAACACACTTCTGTACATTTTAGTGCACAATTTCTAATAGATGAATTTAACATATTGAAAAAATGTATTTAATATATTTATTATTTTTTAAATATGTTAAAGTCAGAAAATAAATGGATCTTGTGCAGTAAAATGTGCAGAAGATGTCATATTTGAGTTGGGTAAAGTTAAGCTGTGTCAACTTATTTTTACTCATTTTACCATTTAACGTTTTTCAATGTAAAATAGCAAAAAACTTGGGGATTTCATCATCTACAGTACATAATATCAAAGATTCGGTAACACTATTTGGAGTGGTCCTTTGTAGATGATCAATAAACTCTCAAAAGGCTATCAATAACACATCAATAACATATGTGTAAATTTGCAGTAATGAAGAACACGAACATTCAAGTGGATATTTTCTTACAGTTTGTAGACGGACAGCAGTTCTTTCTAATTAATGTATTGACATGAAGTAAATATGTTGTTGATATGTTACTTACATTAAGTAGATGTTTTATTGACATTTCTTACAGTAAGATGTTTTGTTAATACATTACTTACATTAAGTAGATTTTTTTGTTGATACATTAATTACATTCAGTAGATGTTTTGTTAATACGTTACTTATATTAGGTCGATTTTTTTGATATATTACAGATGTTTTGTTGACATTACTTATATTAAGTAGCTGTTTTGTTGATACATTACTTACATTAAGTAGATTTTTTGTTGACATTACTTACATGAAGTAGATGATTTGTTGCCATTATTTAAGTAACGTAGCTACCCCTAACATCGGCCATCCCCCAACATCGGCCACTTGCGCGTATTGCGCAATTCCTCTCTCTCTCTCTCCGCCAATTGCTCAAGCGAAATTCAAAACACATAAGCTTGCACCTTACAAAGGCATCTAAACTTTATTCTAGCAAAAAATCATATCTGAAAACAATATTTAAGTATCACTAATGACGTTGTAATTCTGCGTATACAAAACCGCATGGAACACACAACTCATTTCCATTCCGCGATGGATATTGGTCTGTGTAGAACGTTAGCTTATCGGTTAGCTTTCACTTCTCTGAGGTAAAAAAAAGTTTGCCGCCATCGTGGTGTTACGTATATGGCGTAAGGGTGCCCACAGAGGACAAACTTAACCTCATTGTAAACCACTGTAAGGCATTGAGTCTGGTAGGAATGATGCGTAAACGCGATTTCTCATTTGACTGGCACAACCAGGCGCGCAGCAAAGAGCTGAGCTCTATACTTAGATAAACAAGCAAATCAAGCTGAATAATGAAACAATACAATAACATCACATTCTACTAACGAATATAAACATATATTTTATGTTTTTTACAATTTTATACGCTGAATTTTAGGCTGAAAGATGAGTTACGGAAAACCGGAAGTGAGGTGGCCGATACTGGGGGACCCCCATCATTCTAGCTATACCAGTGTCAAAGTAGACAAAAACATTATTATCATGTCAAATGACTCTTGGACATTAATCTACACACATATCTCTCCCGAAAAACATTGATTTGGGTGAGTAAAGTGCTTTCATTTATTTACAGTTAGCTTAGATTCCCGATGTTTTGTTGTGAGGTGGCCGATAACAGGGGTACTTACGCTAGATGTTTTGCTGATGTCACTTACATTAAGTAGATGATTTGTTTGTTACGTTAAGTAACAAATTTTGTTGATACATTACTTACATTAAGTAGATATATTGCTGATGTGTTTCATTAAGTAGATATATTCTTGGTGTTACTTACATAACAGCTTGTTGAGTACCTAGAGATGACATGTATTATACCTGTTACATGTTCAGTGACTTCTCAGATGAACATATACAGTTATGAAAGTGGACACTCCAAATAAAGTGAAAAACAAGTGCATTCAGTAAATTATTAACAGACTTTATTTAAACAACAGTTAAACTAAATATTTACATACACAGTTCAAAAGGGTAACAAACCTTCAATGTGTTGTCATTTGAACAGTTTAAAACAAACAGAGAGCCTTCTGCTCCAGGACATCTAACTCTGTAACTCTACATATTAAAACCTTAGATAAAAGATACAAAACATATGTGTGTCTCTGTGTGTGTGTGAGAGAGAGAGGTGGTGTGTTTGTATTAGTGTAAATATGCAGATACCATCAACCTCACTTTCTGAAACTGGTAACAGGAACGTCCACTTCACTTAGGGAGGTGGAATGGCAAAAGCAAACCATTCTTTTTCATGTCATTGATCTTCTCTTTCAATTCTCCTGCCATTTTTTCTTGGCATTTGGTGGCAAATTCTGCTAGTTTCCCTGGCCTGAAGGGGACTGACTGAAATTGCTGTTGGTCAGCAATATACAGCTCAGCTATTGGAGCCAGCTGGGCCACTGCATTTCGGGACACTTTTTCCTTTTGGAAGGCTCTTGTCATGGTTAGTCCCTTTTTGGTGTGTTTCAGCAGCCTCCAATAACGCTTCACCACATCATCAACGTTGTTTGCTAAAAGAAAACAAAACAGACAGACAAGTGTATATTAAAGCAATAAGCCACGAAAGGCGGCGCCAACAAAAAATATAATAAAATACAATTTTTTCCAAAAAATTATTTGTTATTACTATTAATAATCAAGAAATTAAGTTCCTTTATAAAACAGATAATTCCAGTTCTAAAATGTGTCCATCAAGAACTCAGTCCAGAAAGAACCCATGCAGTGTGATTCGACTCGTCTCTCACAGGAGGGGTGGCTTTGGAGGTTACACGGGGGACTATGCATGTACTGTGGCATTGCTGGTCACGTTTTACAAGACTGTCAGGCATGTCCACATAGATCTCTGGCGCTGACCCCTGGAAGGTGTGTGGAGTACACTCTAATGTGGTGAGTGTTCCCACAAAGGGCTTGGTTACAAAGTCATTTCAGTTACCTGTGACATTGTGCTGCCTCAATTCTGTCTATGTATTTTCAGCCATTTTGGAGCAGAGAGAAATTTCATCAATAAGCCGCTTGTGGATCAACTCCAGATTCCTGTGGAACCTTATTAAGCATCTCTTCATTTGTCAGCTGTGGATGGAGATCCAGTTGGAGAATGGATTACTGACACATTCACCAAACCTGTCACCATGGGGAGAATATTTAAGCTTTTAATAGCTTTTTTGTTTTATACTTTTCTGCCTACTCAGTTATTCTAGGACTTCCCTGGCTACATAAGCATAACCCCGATATCTCTTGGTCAGATCATGAAATACTCAGTTGGTCCCCCTTATCATGTGTCATATTTGGTTATGTCATAACCAAAGTCTTGAGTTCTCCAGTTTGGTTTTAACCTCTACATTCATTCAGAGTCCTAATTCAGACTTTCCTGTCTTCATTCCCCCTGAATATGATAAGCTTACAGAGGTTTTTACTAAGAGCAAAGCCACAGAACTCCCACCTCATTATGAATATGATTGCTCTATTGAACTAATTGAGTATACCCTCTCATTCAAGAGGAAGGAAAGGCAATGGAGGAGTATATTCAGGAAGCTCTAACATAGGGGTTCATTAATCCTTCTACCTCACCCACAGCTGCTGGTTTCTTGTGTTTCTCTAGTGGTTCATTACTAGGGGGTACTACAAATACTTAGTCAAGCCGTTCGGCCTTTTGAATGCTCCTTCCATCTTTAACACCCATTCCACCCATTCCTAGTTCTTAGTGATCACAAAAATCTGGAATATCCTCATTCAGCTAAGAGGCTTAATCTTTGTCAGGCACGTTGGGTCTTGTTTTTCGATCACTTTCAGTTTTCCGTTACTTACAGACCTGGTACATGTAATACAAAAGCAGATGCTTTGTCAAGAGTGTTTAGTGAGAAAAATCTTGTCAAGGACACATCAGAGAAGATCTCGCCACCTGAGATCATCACAGCACCCATTTGTTGGGAAGTTGATGAGGAAATTGATAAAGCTTTAGAAACCGTAGCTATTCCAGAGCAGTGTCCTTCCAACAAGAAATGTATACCTAGCCAGTTTCGTGATCGCATTATCACTTGGGCTCACTCATCTCTTTCCTCCGTTCATAGGTTTTAGCATCATGCTCCACTTGTTCTCAGTGGAAGGTCCCCAAGTCTCTTCCTGCAGGTAAATTCATGTCACTGCCCATTCCTGCATGTCCCTGGTCCCATATAGCACTAGATTTTGTTACCGATCTTTCCCCTTCAGAGAACTGGACAATGTGAAAGTAAAAAAAATAGGAAAATCTTTGAGATTGTGTAGTTCTGAAAAACAAAACTATACAAGGTACGTAATGTGGACAGAACTGGTCATGTTACTTACCTTGGGCTGAGATTGCACAAAATGTTCTAATCAGTTAGTCTACTGGACTCATCCCATTTCAGTGTAGGTATGGTTACCAGCCTCCTTTATCACCCTGATCTGCTGTTTCTTCAGATGTTCCAGCAGTAGACAATTGGAATAGACATAGCGAAGAAGTCTAGGAGCAAACTCATCAATGGATTGAATGTGTCCTTCATTACCAGAAATGGCAGGCTAATCGTCACGAGGGGGACACCCCTCTACTCTCCATCAGATCGGGTTAGCCTGTCGAAGAGGAATTCAGGTTTTTGGAGGGGAGTTAGAAACTTTTGGTAAATACATTGGTCCTTTCAAAGTCATTAAATGTGTTGATGAGGTTACATATCAGCTTGATTTGCTACGTCAGTATCGAGTTTGTAATTCTTTCCATGCCTCCCTTCTTAAGCCAGTTGTTCCTGGTCTGCTGGACAAGGTATCACCTGACATCAGGCTGCCCCCTTTGGTTGAGGTCAAAGGCTCCCTAATCTATGCTGTGTGCAGGTTGCTGACACAAGGAGAAGAGGGGGGATTCTCCAGTACCTGGTGAACTGGTAAGGCTACGGACTCGAGGAGAGAAGCTGGGTTCCTGCTAATGATGTACTGGATCTGGGGTTGGTGGAGGAGTTCCACCAACACCATCCGGACCATCCAGCACCACATCCCAGAGGTTGTCCAGTCTGTCCTTCTATTGGTCATTGTAGAGGTCATTCCTAGAGTGGATCTTCGGTGCAGCACAGCAACAGCTCCAGGGGTTTGGCCCGAGATGCTTCCTGATGCGTGGGTGGTCATTGCTGAGGTCGTCGTTGTTCCTCAGCCATCCCGGACTCCTTGGAGGGTGTACTGTCACACTCCCCAGTTGGACTTTAATTATATTACGAACTCAAATTCCCAAGATCCCTGGGTTTGCATGTCACTCCACCAGCCAATCATTCATTAACCAGCAGATCCAAGTCACCCAAATACGGATTGTTTTCACCTGTTTGCCTGTGTATATGTGCCTGTTTGTTTCACTCTCTTTGCGAACCATTGCCCCCTGTTTTATCAGCATACCGAGCCGTTTTCTTGTTTGCTGCATTTCCTGATGACCTTGTTTTGATTCTCATTGTTGATTCTCAGATTTACCCCTTTGGCTAAGATTACCTGTTTATTGGTTCTTTGATTTCGACCCTCGCTTGTTTATCTACTTCGGTTTTTGCCTTATCGTGTTTTGCTGTTCTGGTTTTTGACCTGGTCTGGTGTACATCCTATTCTTTTGGAAGATCCTCCTTTTAATAAACGTTATGGTTTATTTTATATCCAAGAGTGTGACAATGATGGACAACACACATGATAATGATGATGGACTCAGGACAACACACATGATGATGGACTCAGGACAACACGTGATAATGATGAAGGACTCAGGACAATACACATGATGATGGACTCAGGACAACACATATGATGATGGACTCAGGACAACACGTATGACGACAATGATAGGCTCAGGACAACATATAGTTTGTGTGGCATTTCAGTTAACAAACCCTCCGAAGATTCCCCACCATTCCTCAGAACATGACAGTGAAGTAATTGTGGGAAACAGCACAGAATGAACAGCTCAGTAAAAAGCCTGACTGGCTGTTTGATTCTTTTGATTTGAACTTTTTCAGTTCTGCCAGCTGGAGCTATCAGCTCTCCACATAAACGTGAAGATGTGTTGATTTATTATTATATTAGTTAACCTTGTAGTTATTTATGTATTTGTTAATCTAAGTCAAAATATTAATTATTCTGTCTGTTCATTCTGTAAATGTATTTTTCCGATGTTAATTACTGCAAGAACAACCTTGTCCTGTTCCTTCATCAGTAATGAACCATAACACATTATTAGTTACTGATAATTACTATATTCGTTCATGAGCTGTTGGTGCATATTTAGTAGGTTATTAAGTAACCTTATTGTAAAGGGTTTCCAAAGGAAGGAACATTAGTGCGTAGTGACATATGGTCTCTAAAACTGATCTTTTCATTTGAATAGATCTGCTAACGAGTGTTTATATTTCTTTGATTGTCCACGCAACACCTACAAAAAAGTACAGATTATTACACTGTCTTCATTTATTTATTAGTGTTTGTATGTGGCCTCCTTTTATCCATCATTGATTGGGTTCTCTCGTGTGGTAAATGGGAGTATGATGGCTAAATATTTTCTCTTGTTTTGTATCTGGGTTGTAAAAGGCTTCCAAAAGCACATATGCCTTAACAGCTGACTAGAAGAGAATTTGATTCATTGTATTCTCACTTTAGTGTAGCAATATTTGAAGCAAGAATTTATGAGTTTAACTGTCTGTTTTGATCTTAAAAGTTTAATAATAACTTGATGAATGACAAAACTGCACACAATACATCACATAAATGTTTCAAATGCAAATGTATCACTTAACAAGGTCCATGAGGAGGACATTTTTCAATAAAATGTTTTATGCTTCCAGACACGCCCCCCCCAAACCCAGCCCCCCCACCACTCCCAGCACCCCCAGACCAGCCTATAAGCACTTTAACCACCATCACTTCCCTCTCTGTTTCAGCCTTAAAGCCACTGCCTGTGTGAGCCATTATTAACCATCTCCTGTTTTTGACTCAACCTGTCTGCTCTTTAACACCCTCACTTTAATCTGAAATTCTTGCAGACATAAAGGTAAGTTACTCTGATCATTTTTTTAAACAAGTAAGAATAATTCAAATGTTTCACCAGATTAACAAAATAGATGCCAAGTTTTCAAACATATTCTCAGAAAAAAAATTATGCAGAATTGAAACACAGCAGAGCTACAGGACAAAAACTAAAAGCAAAGTGATGAACTGAAGGTCTTGGATTGTTCATACTTTACTAGCATTGTATATTTTCTATTGTCTTATATATTTCTTATATCAGGATGAATCAGGGCCTGATGTAGTTTCATTGTCATTTATTGTCCCAAGAAAAAACCTTCTGTGTTCTGATAGGAGCCAGCAACTAATTTCATGGCTGCATCATGAATACTTATATTAAATTCCTGTTAGTAACCAGGTTTAGATTTATCCTTACATTGATCTTTTCTAAATTAAAATTTACATTTATTTCATTTACCTTTAGTTGCAAAAACAAAATCAAAGTAAACATGAATAATGCCAATTAGAGTCTGTGAGGTGGGCACAAAATGGACATATTCCAAATGAAGCATCCTAAAAGTGTGAAGTGAAATAAGTGTAAACATGTTACAGTTTTACAAGCATGTATTCATTGTCATAACTTGGATTATGCTCAGTGTAAACCTGCTCATGTCTTATTTCTGATATTGAAAGTTTGCTCTGAGAAATGGCATAATTTTTTGTGCTCCAAGGTCACCGTGAGGTTATAATATCATGCACTTGACGGCTGATTTGAATGAATGTCTTATTAATCAGTAAATTAGGTATTGATTAAAAGAGAAATATTGGGTTTTCCCTTACAAAGAAGGTCATATAGGATTATTCTGTGTGCTTCTGAGCTGAACTTCTGAACCCTTTGAACAGGGCCTCATGCTGAAAAAGCGCTATGTAAGCATATAGTATTGACTGACCATAAAAGGGAAAGCCAGTGGATAAAGCTGAACAAGGGTTGTATGAGCACACAGAATGGAGTGTCTGTAAAAGGGAAGACAGTTATTTAAGCTACGTTTTGAATGCTGTCTGGGTGCTGGGCTGTCCAGACAGCTCTGCCGTACAAATGCTTTGAGCTGTGTGAATAAAGGCTGAAGCCTTTTCCTCTTTCCACCAACTCAGCATTTAGTCTTTTTATTCTGTTATTTATTTATTTTTTTTTCAATTTAAACTTAGAACAGTTATAAGTATAAGCGTATAGCAATTGATTTAATTTGACGTCTGGATCCTGGGCAGAAAGGATTGCTTCTGGGCCCAACATACTTCACACACACACACAAAGTTTAAAAATGTACTTTCCATTCACAATTCCTTTCACAAATTTTTCATAACATGTTATAATGCATTCATAAGGCATTATAAACATGGCTATAAATATTTATAAAAATGCATTACACATTATAGCCATGCTTATTATGCATTATGAATTGTTTACATAATACATCAGTACTGTTCATAACAAATTATAAGAGCTCATAAGTTGTATTTGTCCGCTCTAAGTAAAGTGAAGCGTACTGTACTAAAGCCTCCTCCAGTGTTAAGAGTGAGGCTACAAGTTGAAGTATTTACTGAAGGATTTACTGAAGCAGTAAAACATTCACAATAAAGCACATTACAGGCTTCAAATGTCAGAGTTTAAACTAGGGCTGCCATCAGTGTTTTACCCAATGTGGGAAAGGTAATGTTCACCACCGTTAGCTTGGTATTTGTCTTTACGCTCTCCAAGCTGGGACTGACTTCTTTGACACTGACAGTAAAACATGTTACCAACACTACTTATAATGCATTATATTAACAATTCATAATGTATAATAAACATGGCTATAAAGTGTAATTCATTTTTATAAATGTTTATAATCATGTTTATAATGCCGTATGAAGGCATTATGACATGTTATAAATGTGTTTATAGATGCTTACAAATGTGACATTCATAGAATGTGTTACCGTTATAACTATTAGAACTATAAAGTACACTACTTGGCTGTATTGGTAAGGTCTGAATGAAATGTGTGACTAACTTCTACTGTTTGAATCTGTAGCCTATTTCAGGATTCAAACCAGGTTTGAGGTTTCAACCATTTTTTTCATCAAGGTCTGTACAAAACTAATTTAATTTAATTTATTTTTTATTAAAATGACCAGCTGGGAATCTATGGTGTGTTGACACAAGTTTGCTATCAAGTTTGCTTTGAAATGGTCTTTGGTTTGCTTAAAAAGAATTCAGATCACTGGAATAATTTTTTTTCCTCAATCATTTCTTTCCAGGTCCTTGTTGGATACAGCAGGAAATGGGGAGCGAACAATCAAGATCAAACACACATGTGGCCAACGCAACAGATAAGGCCATAAGAATTTACTATGAGACAACGAAGATGACGCTTGAAGAGCTTGTGGTCAACGCAGATGCAGGGTTTGGTTATTCAGATTCAAGTATCTCAGCAAAGGGAAATGTCAGCACTAAAATGGTGTTTAAGCCTGACTCGCGAGTGCGCTACATACGCCTTCCTCCTAAAGAGTTCACCAACTTCGCAGGGGAAGGGGAGCTGTTTGCCAGCGTACTTCTGGAAGATAAAGATGACCCAAAGGTCTTCCTCAAGTACATCTGCATGAACTTCCATGTTCCCAGTGACCGATCCTTCATTGTGACGGCCAGTGAAAACATCAAGCTTCAGAAGTACGGTGCAAACGTCTGGGTCGATGACGATGGAACGAACCATTCCGGATAATAATAATGAAACATTTTAAAAATTGTACATGTTTCAAGTGACCTCATTTCCATTTCATTGCAAATTGATGAGTAAGTTCTTCTAAAACTGAAATTGTGTGCTGTGGGATTGGACAACAGCCACTGTTTAAAATGTGCTTCATGGATAAAAATTGATTTGATGACTAAATGTAGTTTTCAAGTGTTCTTTTTCAGTCTTATTTACAGTATACAGTCACAGGTGATTGTCTATAGCGTGTTTTAGATGTCCAATTTAAAAGCACAATTAATAATGCTAAGATAATATACAGTTTTGCAGACAGACATTACACAAATACAATCATATGCAAAAGTTTGAACACCACTGGTCAAATAACATAGTCTTTTGTTTTACAAAGTGAAGGTAAATTAACACATCCACTACAGAGAACACATTTCTGCACATTTTACTGCCTGATTCATAATTGTTTGCTGAATTTAACATATCGAAAAAGTAAAAGAACAAAAAACTGAATATTTAAGGTTTTATACAGGGAGATTCACTCGAAAAAGGCCCTGAATATTCTGTAATAACTCTCTCTAGGACAAAGTGATCTGAATAAAACAATGCGCTCCTCAGTGTATGGAACTTTGAACAAGCCAGGATGCCCCTGCGTCGGAGCGATGAGGTAGGCGCCGGACAGCCGTCACGACGTTTAACCTCCGTTTGCAACTTCAGGGTGCAGAACCCCGTACCCCTTCACTCAGTCACTCAACTTCTCATCAGGGTGGTGCTGTACAGTATTGAGCAGCACGTCAAGGTATGTAGTGTGTTTTTTTGGTTCAGATCGCTTCATCCTAAAGGGAGTTACAACAGAATATTCAGGGCCTCTTTCGAGTGAATCTCCCTGTATTTTCTAAATATGTCAAAGTCAAAGCAAATAATTGGATATTGTCCACTAAAATGTGCAGAAAGTTTTAAGTTGTGTAAAGTTAAGCTGGGTAAAGTTGTATTAACTTATTTTTACTTATTTTTAACTT